ACTTTCCCTCCCTGACCATCAGTTTTCCCAGTTTTCTCATCTCTAAATGAAGGGATTAGACTAGTTCATCTCCAAGGTCCCTTCTAGCCCCAAATAAGGACAGTAGCTGGCACAGATATGTGCTCTATGAACACTTGCTGGATGAATGACCTCCTAGTTGTGGTGCCCACCATCGTCCCCCAGGCTGAAGGCACCTCATGGTAGTGAGTCGGGGATGGTGGCTCTCTTCGCCTGTTAAGGGACCTCCGAAGCACTTTCCTATGAGGGAGTATCTTTGGTCCTGGGGAGAGGCTGACTCCAAATTGGTTTCCAGACTTGGTGGAAAGAAAGCAGCTAGAGCCTATGGTCAGGAAGTTAACTGCTGTCCACCTTTGGTGTTCTCTAACTTCCCATGTGTGGTTCATTGAATTTATAAGTGACCCACAACATCCCTGACATACGGAAACTGGACATTTGGCTGAACAAATGTGAATTGTGCATTCTGCAAGACTGGTGTGTGGGAGAGAGTGAGGAGCCCCGCTGACTGCCAGCATCCACACCCCACGGGGCTCTCATTTAAAACATCTGTACAAAACTGTGAGGTGGAGCTAATTACCCTCAATTTTCGGGGTGGAAAACTGAGGAAATGTTTCCTTTTGTTCAACAGGCCTTTCCTGGGGGTCTGTTAGGTGCCAGGCATTATGTCCACTGCCAACATCTCACCCCTGGTGGTTCATCAGAATCATCTATGCAGCTTTGAAAAAATCCAGAGGCCCAGGCAGCACCCAGACCTCCTGAATCAGAAACAGAAACAGAGCCTGCCTTACACTGTTGGTGAAAGTAGAGATTGAAATCACCTCTTTGGAGGATGATTTGGAAATACTTATCAGCTTTTAAATGTTCTACCCTTGACCTAGGCAATTCCGCCTCTGGATGTATATTGTTCAGATAGACCTTCACATTGTATGTAAGACTACATGCAGAAGAGGATCCGTTGCAATAACATTTATAATGCATTGGGAAGCCCTGTCGTGAGCAGCTTTGTGGAAAGGCCTGCAGGGTGAGGAACCAAAGCCTCCGGCCAACAGCCGGGGAGAATCAGGCCTGCCAACAAATACACGCGTGAGGCTGGAAGCAGATTCTCCTGGTCCTCCTGAGCCTTGGGATGACCACAGCCTCACGAGAGACCCTGAACCAGAACTACCCGGCTAAGCCACTCCCAGATTCCAAACCGTCAGAAACTGTGAGATAATAAATGTTTGCTGTTTTAAGGTGCTAAATTTGAGGGTAACTTGTCACACAGCAATAGACAGCTAATATACCATTCTTACTTTTTAATTTTTTTTTTTTAAGAGACAGGGTCACACTATGTCACCCAGGCTGGAGTGCAGTGTCCGTTCATAGCTCACTGCAGCCTCAAACTCCTGGGCTCAAGAAACCCTTCTGCCTCAGCCTCCTGAGTAGCTAGGACAACAGATGCGCCCCACCACGCCTGGCTAATTTTTTAATTTTTTGTAGAGATGGTGGCCAGGGGCGGGGCTGAGGGGGTGCAGGGGTCTCGCTATGTTCCCCAGGCTGGTCTCGAACTCCTGGCCTCAAACAATCTTCCCACCTTGGCCTCCCAAAGTGCTGGGATTATAGGCGTGAGCCACCACACCTGGCCTCCATTCTTACTAGTTTGTTAAACCTTCCAGTGCTTCTTTATGTGAATAAAAGTAAATACAAACATATATTTTTATTTTCTCCCCTTTCTTATATACATAAAAAATGGTGTACTATAATATCCCATTCTATACTTTTTTTCCCCACACAATGATATTTCCTGGAGATGCCTTCATATCACTACACAGAGGAATTCCTCATTATTTTTATAGCTGCATAATGCTTCATTGCATGGAATATTTATTCAGCCAGTCTCCTGTTGTTGGACACTTGGGTCGTTTCCCACTTTCCACTATTACAAACAATGTGCAGTGAATAACTTGAAAGTATATCTTTTCATATGGTGCAAGGGTTTCTGTAGGAGAGAGTTTCAGAAGGGAAGCTGCTGGGTCAAAGGTACATTTTGTAACGTTGGTAGACACTGCCAGATACTCCTCCGTAGAGAAAGCACGCCCTTTAGTATGTTTGGCTTTTGGACTGTGTGCCTGTTTCATCTCTGCAGGAAATTCTGATGATCCTCTGAGATTAAGAATTTATCTATTCCTACTCTACTCTCTCTTGATCAGATGCTCTGAAGGGATAAGGAGGAGAAAGGTTAAAAGTGAAAATTCTCCACATGCTTTTAAAGCATGCACACAACAAACATTCCAAACAGCTACTAACGTGAAAGCCCAGAAGAGCTGAGACACTGGGCTGGGAGCTCCTGGGCTGGCCTGCAGCCAAGGGCAAAGACACGCTGCCGTGGGCACATGGCTTCCCGCTCAGCAGCCCCTTGACGGAGCAGAGCAGCACCCAGGGCCCAGGAAAGCCTAGGGGGATAGTGGCCCCGGGGTCTGTGTCGGGGAGATGCTCAAGCCCCTTCAAGATAAAAGCCTGAGTTGAAACTAAGGGACCAGCACGGGGCCCAGGGGATGCTCCAGGAAGGAAAGATGTGCTCAGAGGGGTCTGTCTGGATTATGGCTTGACAAGGCTGGCCTGAAAGAGCTATATCTATTTTATTGCCTTGGAAAATGGAGTATTCCTATTATAAATTCATGGTGAGAGGAAAAAAGCTCCTTTCTACGGCCAGCCAGCCATCTGTATTACGGATCACTCAATTGTACTTTCCACTCTTACGCTACGTGAGGAGCTACCCCCCAAGCCATTGGGAAATGTTCTGCATTAATAATGAGACGAGAATGTGCCCAGAAAAGTAAGTCATGTTCAGGGCAAGCAGGGGGGTCCAACTCTGCTTTCAGTCTCTTCTGCAGTTATAATTTCAGTTAACAACATTTTCCCACTGTTTAAAGATTTTGGCAGTGCTTTGGCCCAAAGAAAGACAAGCAAAATTCCCTTCATGTTTGAAGGCTTACTTTAGAATATAGCAATGCAGTGTAGTAAGAAAAAACATGGGATTTATTGTCATAAGATTACATTTTTAGTCTGGTTCTTCCTCTTATTAACAGTTGGTCTTGGCAAGCCATTAATCTTCCCAAACCTTAGTTTCCCTAGCTGATAAACGAGTATAACAACAGCTCCCTTAACTAACCCACAGGTGGTTCTGAGGATGCCCCCTCCAAAGGGAAATACTGCAAAATGCTATAGAAAATGAAGTGTATGGTTTGTGCCTGATCATAAAGGTCATTATGTACTTTGCTGCCTTTATTTAATAACTTCAATTCACATCCATTGTAGAAATTCTATACAATCGGAAAGGATTAAGTTAACTCTCAGAAATTTGTGTGGTTCTTATAAAAAGTCACTGCCCACCTGTCCTCAATCACAAGCTTTTAAAATAGCAGCCTGGTTTTCACAGGGTCCCAAATATTCTGGTCCCCCAGAAGTCACCCAGTTGTATAGATGACAATGCCATCCTTCAATTGCTCTCTCTCAGGCCAGCAACCTCAAGTTATCTGTGACTCTTCTGTCCTAATCATATGGATTCTTAGTGTCAATCCATCAGCAAATCTAGCCACAGTCCAACCACTTCTCACAGCCTGGTCTGGGCCCCCAAGATCTTTGCAGAGGGCTGCTTCCAGCTCTCTGTGCTCCACTCTGTGCAGAGCAATCCTTTCAAAACAAAGTCCGGCCAGGCACAGTGGCTCACACCTGTAATCCTAGCACTTTAGGAGGCTAAGGCAGAAGGATTGCTTGAGGCCAGGAGTTTGAGACCAGCCTGGGCAACATAGCAAGGCCCTGTCTCTACAAAAAAATACAAAAATTAGCTGGACGTGGTGGCACACACCTGTAGTCCCAGCTACTCGGGAGGCTGAGGAACGGGGATCACTTGAGCCCAGGAGTTGGAGGCTGCAGTGAGCTATGGTCATGCCACTGTACTCCAGCTTGGGCGACAGAGTGAGACCCTGTTTCAAAAAAAAAAAATTAAAAAAATTTTTAAAAATAAATAAAAACAAAGGTTGTGTCGCTCCACTGCTCAAAACGCTCCAGTGACTGCCCTTCTTACTCAGATCTGACCCCTGCCTGGGAATCCCATGTGGTCTGCCCCTGCCGACCTCACTGGCCACATCCCCTGCCAGGCTCCAAGTTGCTCTGGTCGCACTGGCCTCCTCGCCTTTCCCGAAAGGTGCTGAGCGTGCTTCTGCCTCTGCATTTGCACATGCTGTTCTTTCTTGCTGGTGCTGCTCTTTCACAGACACCGCCACTCAATTTCTTTCTGCAGGGCTCTGCTTGTTGTCACCTTACCTGACTTCACTGTGTAAAATAACGAGCCCTCCCCACCCCTGCCCCAGCCCAGCAGCCACTGTGTCCCCTGCATCCCGCTCTCCCTCCACAGCACTCTTCCCACGCAACATGTCATGTGTTTGTCTGTTATTTGTCTTCCACCCACCCCTGCTTCCCCTGACACCCACTGCCAAAGGTAAGCTTCACAAAAGCAGGAACTTTATTTCATTCATTATTATGTCCCCAGAGCCTAAAACAGTGCCTGGCTCATCATAGGGATGCACGAAGTATTTGTTGACTGACTGAATAAACCAGTGAATGGATTACCTGAGTGTGATATATACATACGTACGTAAGTAGATATGGAGATAGGTTGATAATATACTTATGTGCTAGCCAATGAAGTTAAATGTATTTTCTAGTATTTACAGGTCATTTATATCTCTCCTTTTGTAAATTGTCCTTTCATGTCTTTTGTTCATTTTTCCTTTAGAGATGATTATATTTTTAGATTTTAATGTGCTCTGTATATATTAGGAAGTTTTGTTCACGGACATGCTTTCTATTCTGAAATGTTCACTGTCGGATAAGGCACCGTATTAATTTAAGGTGTCTGAAATGTCTTTTACAATTCAATAGGTCACTAATGTATGAATCATTTTCTTCTTCTGTTTCTCTAATTTCAATTTGGTTCTCAGAGTTGGACCCTTGTGCTTTGGGGGACCACAGTTGTGAACATTCCTGTGTAAGCAGTGGAACCTCTTTCGTGTGCCAGTGCTTTGAAGGGTATATTCTCCGTGAAGATGGAAAAACCTGCAGAAGTAAGTTTTTACTGGAGCTGGCTCATGCTACCGTGTCAGACCACTGCACGAAACCCACTGTCCTGATCTCTGTATCGATCAGTTACGCTCAAGTCAATGCCACACAAGTCATTACCACAAATGTAATGTGGTACCCTGGATGGCATCCTGAGACAGAAGGAGGACACTGGGTTAAAAAATAATGTAAATAAACTACAGACAAGGCCGGGCGCGGTGGCTCACGCCTGTAATCCCAGCACTTTGGAAGGCCGAGGTGGGCGGATTGTTTGAGCTCAGGAGTTTGAGACCAGCCTGAGCAAGAGTGAGACCCCGTCTCTACTAAAAATAGAAAGAAATTAATTGGACAACTAAAAATATATAGAAAAAATTAGCCGGGCATGTTGGCGCATGCCTGTAGTCACAGCTACCGGGAGGCTGATGCAGGAGGATCACTTGAGCCCAGCAGTTTGAGGTTGCTGTGAGCTAGGCTGACGCCACGGCACTCACTCTAGCCCAGGCAAAAGAGTGAGACTCTGTCTCAAAAAAATAAATAAATAAATAAATAAACTACAGACTTTAGTTAATAATAATGTATCAATATGAGTTCATTAATTATAACAAATGTAGACACATTAGTTATGGTAAGATGTTAATAATAGGGGAAACTAGGTGTGGTGTACCTGGGAATTCTCTGTACCATCTTCTCAATTTTTTTGTAAATTTAAAATGGTCCTAAAAAATAAAGTTTGTTAAAAAAAAAATGCACTGACAAAAAAGTCAATGCCAGAGCTACAATTGAAGTTGCTCATTTATATGTTCTGTGGCAAGAAAAAGTGGTTTAGCAGTGTGCTCCAGTGGAAAGACATACAGTCAGAAATCCAAGATTCAGTCAATTCTATTTCTTCCATTTATTAGCTAGGAAAGTTGCCTGACTCCTCTGAGCCTCTGTTATTTATCTACAATAGTGTTGTTGTTATTTCTGGCAGCACAAATCCCCTATAGAGGGCACCTTGTGATGAGGCCATTCTTGCCTTCCAGAAGGCAAAGCCTCTTAGATGAGGCCATGACAAGTCTGCCTTGGACAGGCAGCTGCAGGGTGAATTGCTGGTGGCAATCGCAAGACACATCGCTGCATAATCAAAGGGGAGTGTGTGACCCTGAGCAAATGATTTCTGTCCCTATCGGTTATCTTCTCAAGCTTCTCAAAGCACTTCATAAAGAGCAACTTGTGTTGACACTTTTTTGAAGAAAAGATGGGTAACTAGAATTATTATGCTCATATTTTAGACAGCAAAGCTAAGACTCCAAGAGGTTATGTGATCCTCATAAGTCATGTATTATATCAGGGACAAAGCCAAAATTAGATTTCAGTGCCGCTAATCTAAACTGAGATTTAATCTCCCAAGTAATCATAGCAACAGTGTTTCCATCCTGAGACCAGAAACTATGCAGAAAGCTGACGACGACGGATTGCATTTCTATGAGACACTAAAGTAGGTGCTGATGAATGATGATGATGATGATGGTGAGAAAGTTTGAAGAGTTAGCCTGAATTAGAGCTGCTAAACTTTGTTCTCAGTTTTATCTCTCCGTCCCGTGGGTCACTGAGCTCAAGTGGCACTGGAGTGGCTGAGATGGATGGCTCCTCCAACATGAAGTCCATGGAAAATTCATGTTGATGACATTGTTTTAACTTGCTCTGCTCTCTTCAGGGAAAGATGTCTGCCAAGCAGTAGACCATGGCTGTGAACATGTGTGTGTCAACAGTGGCGAATCATACATGTGCAAGTGCTTGGAAGGATTCCGGCTTGCAGAGGATGGGAAACACTGCAGAAGTGAGTAGTTACAAGGTGGAGAACTTTTCCATCTGTGGGACAAGATGGGTACAGAACTTCAGTTAATCTTTAAATCTTCCTTTATTACCAGTGTTACAAAGATCAGTTCCTACCTTGTGTGCTCTGAAAGTGTTTTGCTAGAGGTCAGTGAAGGAGACCCTGAGTTCTTTAGGAATTTCTCAGTCAAGGCCCTGAGTTGTCAGGCTCTTTGCTTCTTTTCAGTTTCTCTCAGCTGTTGGTCCTTTCCACGATGTCGTGTGGATGCCTGGAGCCTAGCACAGGGCCTGACTAGTCACTGGACTGAATTAGAATCTCTGTCAGCAGTCGCCACAAGGATTGAAGGTTCTATCATGCTTTTTCTTCTTGGCAGACCTTATAAGTAAGGGCAAAGGGTGAGAGAGGGGCTGAAGGGACTTTCCGTGGGTTTTGTTTATTCTTTCTGTCATTTGTTTCTATAGATTGTTCAGAACAGACTCGGAGAGTTTAAGTAGAAAGTATATTAGCCAGGATTCTCCAGAGAAACAGACAACAGGAGATAGAAAATAGATAGAAAAATAGATACGGAGAGAGACAGAGATTGATTTTAAGGGATTGGGTCACGGGATTGTGGGGGTTGGCAGGTCCTAACTCGGCAGGGCAGGCTGGAGAGCTGATGTTCAGCTCCGGTCCGAAGGCAGCCTGCATGCAGACATCCCTCTTCCTCGGGGGACTCCGGCTTTTTCCCTTAAGGCCTTCTACTGATTTGGATGAGGCCTACTGACATTATGGAGGGTCATCTGCGTTACACAGACTCTACTGATTTAAATGTTAATCCCACCTAAAACTTACCTCACAGCATCATCTTGACTGGTGTTTGACCACACTGGGCACTATGTAGCCTAGCCAAGACGACACAGAAAACTAACCTTCACAGCACCTACGGGAAGAGAGGGACCCAGGCACACTAGCTCAGCGAGGTGGGCATTAGAAAAGCACGGGCAGGGAGTTTTCCCCACTGTGAGATTCTGAGGGGTTTTGACAATGTCTGCTTGCGTTTGCGACACTCTGCCCCCGTGAGCAGATGGCCCTTTTTCAGTTAAAGCAAAATAAGTTCATTTGCTTTTGAGGTTGATTTTTGGGAATTTTCTTGCAGACTCCTTGTTTGGAAAAAGCACTCAAACCTCGCTTTTCCCTCTGCTCTCACAGCACAACAATCATCAACACAGAAAGACTTCTGTGACCAAATGCGTGGGGTTTCCCCACACACCAAGCCACGGACATCAGCTGGGTGTCCTCTAATTCAATTCTGACACTGTCTGCTTGGAGATGGCGTCAGATCCCACAGGTTGAGGGCTCGGTCCTCAAGACTACCCCCGCCCCAGGCACAGTCACAAGTTCAGGCCTGTAAACTTCTGACTGACCAGCTTCAGGCTGAGGTCCCATGACCTCTGCTTTGTTTTTGATTAATTTACTAGAACTGCTCACAGAACTCAGAGAAACGCTTACTTACCAGTTTATTATAAAGGATATTACAAAGGACACAGATGAGGAGATGTGCAGGGGGAGGTATGGGGGAGGGGGCGCAGAGCTTCCCTGCCCTCCCTGGGCGCCACCCTCGAGGAACCTCCATGCGTTCAGCTCTCCCGAAGCTCTCCGAACCCAGCCCCGTGGGTTTTTATGGAGGCTTCATTGCAGAGGCATGATTGACAACTGTGTAGAAACGTGACTGGACAAAAAGTACCTGATCTAAACCCAGCAAGGCCTATCTGCTCAGACTTTTCTTGGCCTCTTCGTGCAGCATTCCTTCCTATAGGGTGTGGGGCAGGACCCGCTCTTGGAATGAGTCTTTCAGCCCACAATCAGATTAGAGTCCTGCCTTGGGCAAGTGGAAGGAGGACAGGAGAAGGTCAGAGAGAGAGATTCTGAGGCTGCTCCTGAGGCCTAAATGGCCCCCACGTCATAACAAAACACTGGAACAAGGGCTATGGGAGGTGCGAGTCAGGATCTGTGGATGGAAACCTATAAACACATACAAAATAATATCACAATCTTTTGAGGTACATGGGGACATTCCGCATGCGACAAAGCTGGGTTGGATGGAACTCACTGCCCTCCCACTAGCACTGGGAAGAGGGGCTCCCACCTTTAGCAAGAAGTTCTGTTTGAACAGCTGACTCCTGGGGTGCCTGTGGTACCCTGGCCTACCTCTGCAGGATCCCCGCATGTCCCCAGGTCTAGCTTCACACCGCAGTGTCCCTTCTGTGGAGACTGTCCGTTCCGCCCATTACGTCTGCCCGAGCTGCTCGTTCGCGCTTTCATTTCTGTAAACATCTGCACATTCGCACACACCATTTATTCTTTCAGCACAGCTATTGCTCAATAAATTGACCTACTGGAGACAAAGCACAACTTCTACCTCTGGAATTTCATCGCTAAATCAGATTCCACCGTTCGCACTTCCTGGAGGGGTCTGTAGTCACTGATTGATTTTGTGCGAAGCTTCTCCTTTTAAAGGGCAAATGCCAGAAAAGAGCCATGGGCTGTCATGCGTGGAGGAGGGGGAGGACTCAGGAGACACGGGGCCTCGGCTATGTCATCACCTTGCTGGATGACCCTGGGCACTAGTGAGACGTTTGGGGCATCTGTTTCTTTCATGTATATATTGGGAATCATTATCCCTGCCCTCCTCCTCTCACAGGATGTTGTGAGGATTAAAGGGCTTTGAAGAGTTTAAAGTACCTCGCACATGAGAAATGTTCATGAGACAATCAAAACCGGAGGATTTGGGATGCCTGTGGAAAAAATCAGAAGCTAAAGCACATTTAACAATTGTAAAATTTAATAATAAGTCAAGGACACCCAATCACCCCTCTTACCATTCATATGTGTGGGAGCTAGAGCTTTCTGAGAACTTCTTTCTTATCGTAGCCTGTCCTGAGTATGAGACTAAAAAGGATGTTATGAAGGACGTTTGAACAGAGATGGATTTTCTTAAAAATAAATGATTTCCATGATCTCTCCTTCCATGACTATTCAATGTGCCTCATTTAAACACTGATAGGATTGTTCAACTCCCTACGTTTTCCTCAGGAAAGGATGTCTGCAAATCGACCCACCATGGCTGCGAGCACATTTGTGTTAATAATGGCAATTCCTACATCTGCAAATGCTCAGAGGGGTTTGTTCTAGCCGAGGACGGAAGACGGTGCAAGAGTAAGTGATTCGAACTTGGCTCTCTGCTTTCGTTTGGTTTGGAGCAACTGCTTTGTGGAATATCTTCAGGCAACAAATCCCTCAATCCCTCAGCTCTGCTTCTCTCATAAATATAAACGCATATGCAAAAATACGGCATGGGGAAGAGAGGGCTTAACGGCAGCACCTCTGGAAACACTTTCAGTTTTAGTCGACAGTAAGTTCATTATCAGCCAAAAGGGTAGAGTGATCTTAGGCTGAATAAGATCTGGATGAGGAAGGGTAGGATTGTGCTCTGCTCTGTGCTGGAGAATTACATTCAGTTCTGGGCATGGTATTTTAGGAAAGGAGAGATGGATCAAAAGTTTAAACATTAAAAAAAAAACTTTCATATACAACCCCCCACTGCTAAATTTGGCTTAAAAAAATAAAAACAAAAAAACTTGCAAAGTAGCGAAAGAAATCTTGAGAGAATAATTTTATAATCTCAGAGTAGAGAAAATATTTCTAAACATTATGTGAAATTTCAAAGCCATAAAAAAGGGAAAATATATATTAAGGGATTAAAGCTACAGTAACTTTTTTTTTAACCTTTTATCAGAGATCAAAAAGTTTGATGAGGGCTGGGTGTAATGGCTCACACTTGTAATCCCAGCACTTTGAGAGGCCAAGGCAGGAAGATTGCTTAAGGCCAGGAGTTTGAGACCAGCCTGGGCAACATAGCAAGACCCTATCTCAAAAAAAAAAAAAAGGGAAAAAGAAAAGTTTGATGAGTCTCTATGTTGGTGAAAGTATGTTGTAATAGGCAATTATAAATTGATCAGTGGATGTCTGAATTGATACCACCTTTAGGAGGGCAATTTGGCAATTATTTTAAATATAAATCCACTCCTGGGGGTTTATCCTAGAGATATGTGCATATTACAAAGCCTTATATACAAGGATACTTTGTGCAGCATTATTTGTAGCAACAAAAAACTGGAAACAAGCTAAATATTCACCCATAAGAGACTGGTTAAATAATTTATAGTATACCTATACAACAGAATATCATGCATCTATTAAAAAGAACAAAGCAACTCTAGACGTATCCCCAAGATATTTAAGTGAAAAAAAAAGCATGGTGCTGAATGGTTTTTATAGTATGTTACCATTGATGTATTTTCTCTCATACATTGATGTACGCACTCTAACATAGACATTCTCTCTCTCTCTCTCTCTACACACGCACACACACACACACACCTTTTTTCTTTTCTTTATTTTTAGAGACAGGGTCTTGCTCCATCTCCCAGGCTGGAGTGCAATAGCACCATCATAGCACACTGCAACCTCAAACTCCTGGGCTCAAGCGATCCTCCTGCCTCAGCCTCCTGAGTAGCTGGGACTACAGGCACATACCACCACATCCAGCTAATTTTTCTTATTTTTTTGTAGAGACAGGGTTTCACTATGTTGTCCAGGCTGGTCTTGAACTCCTGGCCTCAAGTGATCCTCCCACATCAGCCTCTCAAAGTGCTGGGATTACAGGTGTGAGCCACCTCACCCAGCCTATATGCCCTTTTTCTAATGTTTGAGTTTTGTTCCACGTGCCTGTATTATTTTTGAGAAAAAAATTTAAAGAAATAGGATAGAGATAAACATGACTCAGAAAGAATTAAGCTTCATGGGGAGGAAGTTCAGTACTATGTCAAGTGAAAAATAAAGGAAGAAACTGGGGATCTTTGTAGAGAAAAAAAAAACTTGAGGTACCGAATACCAATGTGACTGTTATCTCACTCATGATTTATATGACACCACCCTGCCCCAGGTAAAGAAAGAACACTAGGGAGAAGCTACAGCTTGGCACAAGGACAGAAACTTTCTACTGGGAAAGCTGCATGATTAATTAGTTCAGAGTATGAGCTTTGGGTCAGACAGACCTGGATTTTCAGCTTTGGGTCAGACAGACCTGGTCTACTTGGTGACGTTGGTCACATTATTAACCTCTCTGAGTCTCAGTTCCCCCATCTATAAAATGAGGATACTATCTCACAGAACCAGCATGAGGAATACATGAGATCATGTATTTAAAGGCGCTGAGCCCAGTGCTGGCGCACACTGAGTGGGAAACAATTGCTGTTGCCATCATCAACAGCAGAGCCGTCCAAAGGGGCGTTAGCGCTAAGGTGATGAGTTCCTCATCCAGAGAGGTGTTCAGGCCCAGACTGAATGGCTGGGTGGGATGCTGTAAAGAGCATGTAAGCAAAGCAGGGCTGGAGGAGGTGACCTGGAAGGGGTTTATCCAACCCTGAAATTCTAGGACTCTGTGAAATTTATTTTCTGAAAGCAAATCGCAGCTCCATTCTCATCGATTTCATTACCAAAAACAAAATGCCCGAGAAAAATGGGAATGACCCTCCTGAAACAAGTAGCCAACAAGTGGGGCTGTCCTTCCTGGGTCTGAAAGCAATGTCTGTGCCCTTCTCACCCTGACACTCTTCCACTCTACCTTGTTTTTTGTTTCCTGGAGAAGCCTTCTTGGCTCTCCTCTGTGCATGGAGGCTGCAAGTTCTATAAGAAAAGAGTGTATGAAAACAGACTCACTGCTGGAAAATTATATTTCAGTATTTCTGAAATCTGCTGGAGAGGCTTGTGCTTGCCACCTGTGTCTTTTTATGGTTGATTCAATAACAGGCTGTGAATATAAATGAAGCTCTGGATTGGCCTCTTCTTCTTTCACTAATAAAGGATCAATAGGTTGAGTAATCAGGACAAGCACTTAATGGAGAAAGAGGAGAACCCAGCCCCCCAACATGTACATATACGTGCACGCATGCACACATACACACACACACACACAAATTATGTCAGCGTGTTATACCAGCCAGGCATAGAAATATTTTTGCATGTGTATGTCTTTACTTGCTTAAATTGTTGTGCCTCACTTTGAAAGATTAGACAGCTGCTTGATACATAAAAGAGAATGTTTTATCACATGTTGTAGACTGAAATGAGATCATCCATTTTGGATGTGTAAAGTTTTCTTATGCAGCCCTAAACAACAAGAAATCTCTTCACACCCAGATTGCTTAAGCATTTGCATAAAGCTTTTATCTCTGTTTTACCATCAACCATCTGAGTTGCCTGAAAAGCTTCTGTGTAATGAATTCATGGTGATAATTCTTCTGTAAGCTTTAATAGGTCAGTACAATACGTATAGGTATGCTACCCAATGAACACCCCCTCATTCATTTTTTTTTTTCTTTTTGAGACAGAGTCTCACTCTACTGCCCTGAGTAGAGAGCCGTGGCGTCAGCCTAGCTCACAGCAACCTCAAACTCCTGGGCTCAAGCGATCCTTCTACCTCAGCCTCCCGAGTAGCTGGGACTACAGGCATGCGCCACCATGCCCGGCTAATTTTTCTATATATTTTTAGTTGTTCAGTTAATTTCTTTCTATTTTTTTAAGTAGAGACAGGGTCTCGCTCTTGCTCAGGCTGATCGCGAACTCCTGAGCTCAAACGATCCGCCAGCCTTGGCCTCCCAGAGTGCTAGGATTACAGGCGTGAGCCACCGCGCCCGGCCCCCTCCCATTCATTTATTCTGTTAACAGCATTTATTGAACACATTGAACACTTATTGTGTGCCAGGTATTGGAGGCACAAAAATGAATGAGACACAGTCTCTGGTGAGGAGGAACTCAACAGACTGGATGAGGAGACAGACACATAATTAAATAATTATTGCACAACGTGGAGCACTGCAGAGAGTACATTAGACTGTAAGCAACTTGCTGTCAGGGACTTTGTCTTGCTTTACTATCACAATCCTGCTGTGCCCACGGCCTTGTAAAAACAGGTACTCAATAAATAAATTCTTGGTTGAGTAAATAAATCAGTAGTGTTAGCAGTATACAGAGAGTAACTGATACAAGTGGCTCACTAGGAAAACTCTCTGGAAAAGGTGATGGCGGAGCTGAATTTTAAGAATCTCCTTCTCCATCGTCTATCAGAAGCCAGCACCAGGGTATGTCACCCTCCTGGAGTAGTGATAGGAATCTTCTGGGTGTTGTCAGACCCTTCAGTATACTCCATACACATCCCCTCCCAGACCTGGCTGTCAGTGTTCCAGGGTACAATGTGGACTTGATTTCCTAGACAGTTTGTACATCCACTGTGTGATTTTGCTTGTGAAAATAGTTTTTATCAATTTGACAAGCCAAACAGAAAAGCATATGTGAAAATTACTGTTGCTTATGACCCTCCCAACACCTCTCGTCTATCTCAGAGGTGGTTCCCCAAAGTGGTTATGCCTCCAATTGAAGCATAATTTTCTTCTACTCTTGTGTGTAAATGATTTTTAATTATTTAACTATGTCAACTTTCCTTTGGTTTCTGTAGGATGCACTGAAGGCCCAATTGACTTGGTCTTTGTGATTGATGGATCCAAAAGCCTGGGAGAAGAGAATTTTGAAGTTGTGAAGCAATTTGTCAGTGGAATTATAGATTCCTTGGCGATTTCCCCCAAAGCTGCTCGAGTGGGGCTGCTCCAGTATTCCACGCAGGTCCGCACAGAGTTCACCCTGAGAAACTTCAACTCTGCCAAAGACATGAAAAAAGCCGTAGCCCACATGAAATACATGGGCAAGGGCTCTATGACTGGGCTGGCCCTGAAACACATGTTTGAGAGAAGTTTTACCCAAGCAGAAGGGGCCAGGCCCCCCTCCGCACGGGTGCCCAGAGTGGGCATCGTGTTCACCGACGGACGGGCTCAGGACGACGTCTCTGAATGGGCCAATAAAGCCAAGGCCAATGGTAATATGGGATGGAGGTGTCGTTAACACACCCAAGGCTCAGATTTCTTAAACTCACTCAATGGTCACAGCTGGCCATAGGAGTAAGAGTCTTTGAAAGTACAGAAAGGCTTCCTGTGAACCGTGATCATACACCTTTACTAAACTGCCACCTAGAGGCCTTAATGGGGCCCCACAGGAATTAAAGTGCTCAGAAAAGACGAGAGTCTCGCCAACCGGAAGGTCAGGTTAGCCAGACCATACCCAGGTCATCGTCTGTGATTTACTAGCAAGTTTGTGACCTTGTGACCTCCAGAGGAGAGAATCATCCCTGTGTGTGCTGTTTAACCACAGACAAATACACAACAGTGCCCAAACACAGGTCTGGTTACTTTAGAATCACCTGAAGAGCTTGTAAAAACTAGATTCCTGGTGGGAACTCTTACTGATATATATATATTTTTATTTATTTTTATATATATGTCATATATTATATATAACATATATTTTATATAATGTCATATATTATATAATGTATATTTTATATATTTATATATTTTTTTTAACCAATGCTTCAAGTGAACACTCTGAAAGTGCAATAGTCAGGATAGAGAATGCTCTTGTGCTTGCAGGAAGCAAAAGCTAGCTTTTAAGAAAACTAAAACGTTGGAAGAGATTATGACTCTTAAGTTCTTGTTGCTCTGTAAAGCTCAGCCTGTTCTCTGAGGTTTTCCTGACCTCATGTATAATGCAGGAAGGGACTTGAGGGTTACTTCAGTTGTATAGATGTGAAGTGTGATAGAGGAGTAAGGCCCTTGGCAAAAGGGAATCCAAAGGCTGGGTTGGTTGGTAGAGACAGTTTATGGTGGTTTCTGGATTCCTTGAGGGAAGATGAGAAAACTTGAGGTTGTGAGGTAGTTTGCTTGAAAGCCACCTTCTTTAAGTGCTTGTCGAAGGCACATTGCTTTAGCAAGTCCTATAAGGGGAAATAAGGCATGCAGAGATCAAGGCCTCATCCAAGACTTTATGGACCCAGTGCCCAAATCAGGCCTGGCACATGGCAGATGTGTGACAACTACTTGCTGAGTGAATGAACAAGGAGGAAAGTACTAGCAATCCCATTGGTGAACTCCATTCCTCCTCACAGCAAGTCTGATTCACATGGACATTCAATCACTCTCTTTGTGAAGGTGGTCATTTTATTGATACCACTTATCTTACTATTCAGTCCTTTTTTTCTAGCCCAAGAGAGTGGGAGCCACAAAAACTGTTGTGCTCTGAATCTTCTGGGTGGATTGTAAAATTGGCTGTTCATCATAGACTAGCTTGCTAGAGATCATGCCAAACCCATGGGCCCCTCTCGCCTGCATTTTTAAAAAGTTTTGGGGGGCCAGGCACAATGGCTCATGCCTGTAATCCTAGCACTTTTGGGAGGCTGAGGCTGGAGGATCGCTTGAGGCCAGGAGTTAAAGACCAGTCTGAGCAACATAGCAAGACCCGGTCTCTACAAAAAATAGAAAATTAGCTGGGTGTGGTGGTATATGCCTATAGTCCCAGCTACTTCGGAGGCTGCAGCAAGAGGATCCCTTGATCCCAGGAGTTTGAGGTTGCTGTGAGCTATGATGACACCACCACATTCTAGCCCAGGCAACAGAGCAAGGGCCTGTCTCAAAAAAACAGTGTTTGGGGAAGCATTTTGGTCTCCAGAGACAGTGGTTAGCCCTTCTATTTCATTGACACTAATCTACCTTACACTTTCCCCCATTTAGATTTCCACAAATCATCCAAAGGCAGGTGGTAGGAGAAACAGATATTTATTTGGTTCTTGAATCAACAAGCTTTATTTGAGGTAACATCCTGCTATGAATTTAATTATTTTTATGTATAGCTAACACAGTCTTAAAATAGTATTAATAGTTATCCTTTTTAGGAAGTTGTGCATAAAGTTACTGGGCTCCCAGACAAATATGCTGAACTTGGTTATTGACCTTACACAGACTTAGAACAAGGCATAACTCTTGCCCCTTGGCTTGAAGAACCATTTTTATGTGCGTTTTTAAAAAATCTAGTCTAATGAATTAGCCAGAATAAGATATCAGTGCTGAAAAATGTAGGAAATCAAGCAGAACTTAATTCTTACTGTGTTTTACTTTCAAATGAAGAATATATGAGGGAAGGAAGTCTAACGATTAATTTGATTTAGAAAAGCTTTAGAGCAATCTTATATCCCTTTTGAAATTTAAGGTTCTTTTTCTTGACTTTGGGAATTTCCAGTGGCCTGCAGATTCTCTCTTTTAGCTTAGCATCTCCTCACAAGGTTGTGTCCTTCCAAGAAAGGTGGGGAAAAAAGCAGCTTCACTTGTCCCAGGTCACTTGAGTATTTCCTATCCTGTACCTTTGCAAAGGAGAAACTAGGTTATAAGGTCATAAATGGACTTGCTTCTTAGAATTTTTCCAGAAGAGATTCCCATGTAGCAAGCCATAAGATAGTGCTCTTTTCTACTTATCCAGAAGGCTAATTGGGGGAAAAGTTAGATTTTTTTTAAATGGTATTGCCTAGAGCTGAGTAATAGGTTGGTGGTTTAGCTTCCCAACCTCTCCCAGATGCCTCACCTCTCTCTTGGATCCTTTTTGCTCACAGGGCAAAAATAAAAATGGTGGAAAAATAAAAGGAAAGGGAGGCTGACATGGACCCCTCAAATCACACCACTTAATATCTAGCTGGCTTTGGGGGCAGTGCACACAACCTTCAGACCCAGGGAACACAATTCTAACTACCTTGTTCTCTCCTCCCGACCCCCCGCCAAGACACGGAGTCTCACTATGTTGCCTAGGCTGGCCTCAAACTCCAGAGCTTGAGTGATCCTCCCGCTTCAGCCTCCTGAGTAGCTGGGACTATAGGTGTACACCACTGTGCCCAGCTTTCAACTCTACGTTTTTCCTAATTTGCTCTGTGCCTTAGGTATCACTATGTATGCTGTTGGGGTAGGAAAAGCCATTGAAGAAGAACTACAAGAGATTGCCTCTGAGCCCACAGACAAGCACCTCTTCTATGCTGAAGACTTCACCACAATGGGCGAGATAAGTGAAAAACTAAAGAAACGCATCTGTGAAGGTACTTTAGTTTATGTCTAGGAAAGACCTTAGCGAACAGGGCAGCATGAATCCTTGAATGAGAAATTCTCAACCCATTCCTTCCAAGTGCTCCCTGGTGAGCAGGGCCAGTGGTGCCTGGAAACACTAATAAGCACAAAAAGGGGAACAGGGAGAGAGGGCAACACAAAAGGGACAGCTACCATTGCTTGAGCACTTTCTCTGTGCCGAGCAGTATGAGAAGTGTTTTGACATGCCAGCAACTTCCTCTTCAGAAAAACCCTAGAGAGATGATCATTTGACTAAGAGATACAATTCAGATTTTGTTGTGTATGCTTTTCTCCAGTTTGCTAATTGTGCCAGGTATACTTACATACAGCAGTTACACCCATTTTTCTTTTTTACTCATGTCCCAGTTTCAATCACCAGTAAAATCCAAGTCTAAGTGCTGTGTCTTACTCCTCCAAAGGAAAGAACTCTGAGATGAAGGGGGACCAGGGAGGGAAGGCCTTTCAGATTTCTGTGAATAGAGAATGTTTTGCCTCTTGGCTGTTTCATTCGAGTTAAAATGCCTCGAGTGGAGCTGCTGACATTGTGACTTGACCCTTCAACAACTTCACCTTTTTGTCTGCCCTACTTTCTAGACATGACCATTTTGGGGAGCATCTTAAGTAAGATGTACTTAAAGGGTCTAGGCTTCTCTTGCTAGTGAGAACTGCCCTGGAGTGGTCATAGATATCATGGTACCCAATTGCTTTTTTGAATCTTTGGTGTTACCAAATAAAACCAAAAAACCCTGGGTTATGGCAGTAGGTAAGGAGTTGGTCTGGCACCAGCTTCCTAAAGAACACATGCATGCATGTGGACAACTGTCACTCCTTTTGGTCATCTTTTTCTGTTCAGCTCTAGAAGACTTTGATGGAAGACAGGACTCCCCAGCAGGGGAACTGCCAAAGAGAGTCCACCAGCCAACAGGTAATTTTAAAAAGCAGTGTTTTTGGAAACTTTGGTGGGTACTTCCACCATGGTTTCCCTCTAGATAAAAGTTGTAAAGGAGTGAAAGTAAGTAAGATTTAAATTATGTTAATTAAGGCCTTTTTTCCTCAAAAAAAAGGAAATTAGTATCTCTGCTGTCAATCTTTTTGCCACAGTATGTCCCAAAGTAAAGCTCTGTACCAAATGCTAGGAATACCAAGTACTTACTCTGCTGATGGCTGTTTTATAACCACAATAGTGTCAAGCAGGTTTGACTTCAGTTCTCTTTCTCTTTACAGAATCTGAGCCAGTCACCATAAATATCCAAGACCTACTTTCCTGTTCTAATTTTGCAGTGCAACACAGATACCTGTTTGAAGAAGACAATCTTTTACGGTCTACACAAAAACTTTTCCATTCGACAAACTCTGCAGGTAATTCCAAATGAAACAGTACTATAACTTGATCCCAGACTTTTAGCTTGCCAACAAACTTAGCTTTAAGGAGGAAAGGAAAGGAGGAAGTATGCAATAGTATAGAGGAAACGAAAAGAAAGAACTTCAGTAAAATGAGAACTAAAAAAAAACCTAAAAGAAACTGTAGTAGGCTTCCCCACTAATCCACAATAATGGCCACTTCTAGTGCTGGAAGCATATACAGCCCTTTTCTGGTATTTGCTTTACTGGATCTGGCTGCATGGAAAAAGTTAAAAACATTTCTTTCATTATGGTTTCCTCCATATGCTGATTCAGTCCTATTATTATGAATCCGGGAAGTCTGGTGGGTTATAGAGGTGAACACTTTCCATCTGCTTTCTCAGGAAGCCCCTTGGAAGAAAAACAGGATCAATGCAAATGTGAAAACCTTATAATGTTCCAGAACCTTGCAAATGAAGAAGTAAGAAAATTAACACAGCGCTATATCCTTTTCTAATATTATGCTTCTGTATGGAACATAAAGAATATTACCAAAACTTCACAAATACTTTATGTGGGTTTATCAACTTTAGTCATTCCCACGAATTTGAGAATACTGAACTCCGGGAAATGCCTTTGCTTAAAAAAGCAGCCTAAGAGGTGTCTGGGAGCGAAGGGCAAGCCAAGCTTAGTGACAATGGTCAAGCACTTGGTTGCCATCTCCTGTTCTAGGGGGTTTAGCAATAAAGGCAGTCAGCATGCAAGGTAAAGAAAAAAGAGACTGACTTAACTTTCTCTCCGCTGGGAGGATATGTAGGATATGTGCTGGGTCTGAAATACATCAAAGGTACAGTATGTACAGGCAAAGAATGTTGTAGGAGGAAGAGGTTTCAAACTAAATCTAAACTCCAAACCTTTCCTTTAGCTCCAAGCTACACCACGGCCACATTTGGATTCAGCGTGTACTTTCCGGAGGGCTGGGGTGTTTTTTGTATGGGTTGGTTTTTTTTTTTTTTTGGCAGCAGAGATGTTTTCTATCAGCACTCTAAAAGATGAAACATTCTAAGGGAAAAGCAGGATCCAATGATTCATTAAAACAATATTACGAATAAAAGGAATGCTCTGGGATAATAGAGAAATGAGAATTCAGTGCTTTTACACATTGAACACCCTGCCAACTGCTCCGAACTTACAATTACAGTAAGCTTACTAAAGCTGGCTGGTATCTTTCTCAGCATGTATCAACTAGTCTACAGGGAAATGGTTTGATTCTGAACTACCTCTGTGCCAATGGGCTTATGTAATAAGGAACAACAGCATATAGCACTTCCCTTTCTGAAAGCTGGAAATATGCTCCTCTAAGTAAAATAAAATAATCTTTCTGATATTGGTTAATATAGATGATGAATCTAGACTCTCATTTTGCCACCAAGAGGGCAGATGGAGGATATTAAGGAGCTTACAAAGAAGATAAATATTTATTCTAATGCCCCTTTCCTCTCCCTTTTCCCACTGAAGTCTACCTCATGAAGACTAAAAAAGATACATATATATATATATATATATATATATATGAAAGAGCACAGGTCAAGACAGAATTCCTGAAGGCTGCCGCCCTTTGGCTTTATCTGGCACCATGGGTGAAAATTTCCTATTTCCCTTCTCTTCTGACTTCGTATCTTATTTTCCAAGGCCTAATCCTTTCATTTTCTTCTCTTCACCACATTCCCAACATTATCAATTCTCTCCCAGCAGTGTGCTATGGCAAACTAATTTATAAGCAACAGAGGTGGGAGTGGAATTAAAAAGACAAATTCAGACCTATCTAGCTTTGATAATGTTTTTAAAAAAGGGCTTACCCTAAAATATATTTGTCTTGACATCGTATGTTAAATGAGTTACTATAAACTTACAAGTCAGAGTTTTAAAATACTTGACAAAAATGGAAAACAAACCAAAGCCTTTTATATTTCAGAATCCAAATTTTTATGTAGATGATCAAGTTATATTTGAATGTGAGTAAAAATAGGCAATTCAGGTTCCTCTTCCTTAATTTGAGATTTACTAGAAGAAATGACACAGAGAATGGAAGCCCTGGAAAATCGCCTCAGATACAGATGAAGATTAGAAATGCTCTACATTATCTGTACATCATTGCATCAAAAATTACAATTAAAGCAGTTCGGAGCCCCAAAGCTCAGGCTTAGGTTGATAATGTTGTGAAGTAAAACAAAACCAGTACTGAGAAAGCTGGTTTGCTATAGAACAAAGACAAAAAGTAGACACTAACTTGTATAAATTTATTTAGGAAAAAAAAATCCTTCAGAATTCTATGAGTTTACCATGAGAATAAATAAGCTATGCAAGGTATTTTGTAATATACTGTGGACATGACTTGCTTCTGCCTCATCCTGCCTTAGTGTTGCAATCTCATTTCACTATAAGATGAAGTTTGCGCAGTCTTACTGCTGTAGAACACTGGCCATAGGAAATGCTATTTTTTTGTATTGGACTTTAATTTGATATATGTATATGGATGTATGCATAAAACACAGGACCTATGTACTTGTGTAACATGTTGGATTTTTTATACGATATTAAAATTCACTTCAGAGAATGGTATTGTGTAAAATTCTTAATTTAACTTTAAATGCAAGATATGTATACATGAGAAATAGCCAATATGTGTATGAAAAAATGTTATGAAAAAATCTTACCAGTAATCAGAAAAATGCAGGTTAAAATGATGATACCATTTTTCACCCATCAACTTAGTAAAAATGAATGTAACTGACTATTGGTAAGGATGTGGCAATATGGGGCTGTTATAGGGAGAGAGCAAATAACAGTCTCTTTGGAGAATGAATCTGCTGATATCTCATAAAACTGAAAATACACACAACCCTGTAACTAGCAACTGCACTTAATAGTTACCTAATTGGATGATTTTAACACATACTTACAAGGAGATCTGCATAAGAATGTACTAGAGTTTGTAAAAGCAATAAATTAGAAACAACCTAAAATATCAGAAGGGGAACTGATAAACTACGTAGTCCATGCCACAGAAATACTATACATTTACAGGAAGGCACTGAATCTCCACAAATACATGGTAAAACTCAAAAACAAAGATGACTTTAAAAAACCAATGAGGCCTGCCTATAATCCTAGGACTCTGGGAGGCTGAGGCAGGAGAATCCCTTGAGGCCAGGAATTCAAGACCAGCCTAAGCAACACCGTGAGATCCTGTCCCTACAAAAAATAGAAATATTAGCTGGGTATGGTGGTACATTCCTGTAGTCTCAGCTACTCAGGAAGCTGAGGCAGAAAGATCACTTGAGCCCGGGAGTTTGAGGATGCAGTGAGCTGTGACTGCACCACTTCCCTCCAGCCTGGGCAACAGACTGAGACGCTGTCTCTAAAAAAAAAGATAGCCAAAATGATGTTCTTCCCATGGAAACCACTGTATTTTAGAGTCCAAATGATACTTTACAAACAGAACACCTTGAATAAGCTTAGGTTTAAATATTTCAAGACAAGTGTTTCCATCAGAATGTCCTCCCAAAGGGCAGTGTGATAGAGCGGCAAGAGTATCTCCTGGGCCTCAACTTTATCTGCAGATCGAGTTCTTTCTAGGTATAGAAGTTGTGACTCAAAGTATTAAACCCTGAGTTTATATTTTTATTTGAGTAAACCATTTGACCCTGAAAACATAGGTTTATCTGGCACCATGGGTGAAAATTTCCTATTTCCCTTCTCATGAAAACATAGGTTTTCATGAGGAAGTAGTATTGGTTTGTGTTGACGTTTGAGATAGTCATGCATCCCTTAACAATGGGCCTGTGTTCTGAGGTAATTCAGATGAAATTAGGCAATTTCATCTTGTGAATATCATAGTGTACTTACACAAACCTAGATGGTATAGCCTACTACACACCTACGCTATATGTTATCTCCTATTGTTCTTTGCCTACAAACCTGTATAGCGCGTTACTGTAATGAATACTGTAGGCAACTGTAACACAGTTAATTATTTGTGTATATAAGTACATCTAAACATAGAAAAGGAATTTCTTAGCTTTATTATAATCTTATGGGGCCACTACCGTATATGCAGTCCGTTGTTGACCAAATGTCATTATGTGGTGCATGACTGTGTATTAGTTCAGGCATTGCTTTCAGTTGGTCAAGTCTACTTGATTTTCTATTGTGTTCAAGCTCCCTCTAGTGGCTCAAAAGACAGCTCGTTTCCCACCTCCCCTTAGCTATTAAATACATCTGATCATACATTTTTTAGCTAGTGAATACATTTCTCCATCTTGGGGGGAACACAACTTCACGGAAAACAAAGGCTTCCAAATTTCTGTAAAGTGATTTATAAAATTAATCAAAATTTACAGGTTAATCCAAGTTAACTTGAAGATTGCCTACAATTTGAATTCTCACTTTTTTTTGCCACTTGTACATTTCGGTGTAAGGGTTTTACGTTCCATTTTCATCATTTATTGTGACCTTTCCATGCCTTGATTTCATCTGCAAAATGGGGCTAATAGTTCTACTTCAGTGGGTTGTCAAGAGGATTGAATGAGTTAACTAACATATACACTACTTAGTAAAACATTTTAAATGCTCAAAATTAGCCATTATATTTTTATTCTTCAGCAGCCAATAGTATCAGAAACAAAGATGGTCCTTGGGTTAAGTGTATGTTGAGTGAATGAAAGGATAGAATGAATTCATTCCTTACCTGAGAAAAGTATTTTGGCACATTCCCACCCCTAAAATTATCTTTTGGGGCAAACAGGTAGAACGTAGTAGATTAAATAATGGTAAGTGCACAAGATGGTAAAGAACTACTATTAACGAGACAAAAATAAAATTCTAGACAGCCAGAAGTATATCAATGAGAAGTAAGTAAACTTTTAAGCCCTAGAAGTCATTATTTGCTCTAATTTTTTTTTTCCTTGAGACAGAGTCTCACTGTTTCCCCTGTTAGAGTGCAGTGGCATCATCATAGCTCACTGCAACCTCAAATTCCTTGGCTCCAATCATCTTCCTGCCTCAGCCTCCCGAGTAGCTGGGACTACAGGCGTGTGCCACAATCCCTGGTAGATTTTTCTATTTTTAGTAGAGACGGGCTCTCACTCTTGCTCAGGCTGGTTTCGAACTCCTGAGCTCAAGGGATCCTCCCACCTTGGCCTCCCAGAGTACTAGGATTACAGGTGAGCCACCACACCTGGCCTGCTCTAATTTTGGTAAGTGACATAAAGTTATGTTGAGTCCCTGTCCTTTAGGACCTTAGTTTAGTGAGAGACAGTTGTGATTTAAAAGGCCATAAAAAAAGGTGTAAGGTAACTCCGAGGCACCTGTTCTAGACTGGAGGAGGATGTTGGGCTCTCCCTCAGAATAAATACAAGTAGGCTGGAAAAGGGGGAGGGGGAAGGAAAGCAGATGCCACTGCAGGCAGAGGGAGCAGCAAGTCTAAGGGGTAGCTGGTAGTTACAAAAGAGCAGATCAAAGAGAAAAGAGCTTTCCAAGAAGCAGATGACAATCTTCCTGATGACCCAACTAATTGCATTCATCATTAGCCTAAAATTTGGTTTCTTCTCTACACTCCTTTTACTCCTACCGCCATTCCATAACAACTGCAATTCTTAACATACTCCATAATATCTGACCTCTCCTGTGGGACTTCTATCTCCATACCTAACAATTCAATATAGGTATGGAGTAAATCCAATAGGCTAGAATTTCCTGCAATCTCCTGCATTATTAGAGCTACCTAGTCAAACACCATTGCTTTCATTGTAATCACAGAACATTTAAAACTGCTACCTTATACCTTCCTAGATCTTCTTAGCCAGTGGCATTTTCTGACTCTGGCAGTAGTTTAATGGCACTACGTCACATGTACCACAGGACAGAATGACCGAGGTATGTTTCCTATCTACTAGCTTTAAACTCCTTGTCCTTGAACTTTAAATTTCTTTCTCACTGCAAAAAACAACAGTGATTGCACAAAAAGTACATATAAAGAAAAGTAAAAGCCAAATGACCTTATAGCATATTATCACTACCTAGGAGAAGGCCCTAGAAATCATAAATTTTCTTTTTTTTTTTTAGAGACAGAGTCTCACTGTGTTGCCTGGGCTAGAGTGCCGTGGCGTCATCCTAGCTCACAGCAACCTCAAACTCCTGGGCTCAAGCGATCCTCCTGCCTCAGCCTCTCGGGTAGCTGGGACTACAGGCACACGACACCATGCCTGGCTAAGTTTTTCTATATATTTTTAGTTGTCCGGCTAATTTGTTTTTATTTTTTTTTAGTAGAGACCGGGTCTCACCCTTGCTCAGGCTGGTCTTGAACTTGCGAGCTCAAATGATCCTCCCATCTCAGCCTCTCAGAGTGCTAGGATTACAGGCATGAGTCACCACGCCCCGCCGAAATCATAAATTTTCTAAAAATCATCATTCCAAAGTGCCTTCAGCCAAAAAATCATGCAAAAGAAATGATAGACTGGCTTCCTCAAAAACCTGAAAATAGAACTACTATATGACCCAGCAATTCCACTGCTGAGTATTCAGAGGGGAATTCAGTATATCGAAAAGACACCTACACTCTCATGTTTATTGTAGCACTATTTGCAATGGCCAAGATATGGAATCAACCTAAGTGTCCATCAGTGGACGAATGGATAAAGAAATTGTGGTATGTATACACAATTGAATATCATATAGGCACAAAAAAGAATGAAATCCTGCCATTTGCAACAACACAGATGAAACTGGAGAACATTATGTTAAGTAAAATAAGCCAAGCATAGAAAGACAAATACCACATGTTCTCACTCCTATGCTAAATATTAAAAACAATGGATCTCATGGAGACAGAGTAGAATGAGTTACCAGAGGCAGGGAAGGGTAGTTGGGAGGGTGGGAATAAAGGAATGATGGTTAATGGGTGGAAAAATGGATAGAATGAACACTATTTGATAGCACAACAAAGTGACTATAATCAACAATAAGTTAGGGTATACCTTAAAATAACTAGAAGAGTAGAAGTGGAGTGTTCCTAACACAAAGAAATGTTAAATGCCTGAGGTGATGGATACCCAATTACCCTGCTTTAATTCACATTGTATGCCTGTATCAAAACATCGTATGTACCCTATAAAGATATACAACTATTGATTCGTTGGCAAGTGAATACTCCTCTTTCCTTCTCAAAGAAAAAAAGATATACAACCATTATGTACCCATAATTAAATATTTTTAAAAAAGAAATAGTACACTGGCGTCTGTAATTATGTTTTCTTCAGGTCACTATCTTTTAAGAAATTAAAGCTCATTAACCTGGAGGAAAAAATAACCCAAATAGTGTGAAAAGTTCACTTGTGGGAGAAATTGACCAAGCTTATCATAAAAACATTTTCAAACTATGGAAATAGACAGTGTTAGAGATCAGTAGTCTCTATAGTTAAATCTTTGATAAGACTAAGGAATTCTTATCAAAGATTTCAAACATTTTCTATATCACTTTGGGCACACTGGTCTCTTCATATATAAACACAAATACTGTAGAACATTTAAAATTTTCCATACAACTCAGTGGCTCTTAACCAGGGAAGATGCCAGTTTAAAAATGTTGGGATGCTTGACGTGATGGATATTCTACTTACCCTGATTTGATTAACATACATTGTATGCCTCTATCAAAGCAGCACATGTACTCTATAAATTTGTACAACTATTATGTGCCCATAATAATTAAAATTTTTTTTTTTAAATGTGGGGATGACATTTGGGAGTGTTGAATGTTTCAATGACGTGGAAGGAAAATGAAAGAATGAAAATTACCCTGCAGTATCCACAGCCCTGGACAACAAAGAATTGTCCCATCAGTCAGTAGGGCTCTCAAATTGAGAAATATTGAATAACCGAATAACCAGTTAATAAAAGCCAGACTCTCCAAAGTATATCCACCTCAGACTAACTTCAGACACAAACTAGAATCATGAGATATTATCTTGAGACAAATCAACTCCCTCACCTGTAAAACTGGGAACATGACCCACCCATGGTTGTCATACAACTATTAAGAGCTGGAGTCCTGACTCCAAGTTCAGAAAATGCTCGATTTTCTGGATGGTATACAGAAGGCATCATCATCTCTTATGTCTCACTCATCTACCATCCAAAATTGCTTTAGAGAAAGAGGGGAGAGAAAGAAGGGGGAAGAGGGAGATTGAGTCTAAAATCCAAAAGACATTGCCATTTTTGACACTTCTGAAGCCTCCCGCAGACTACACAGGGTATACCCTACCAGTACCATTCAACTCTATACATTTAAAATGTAGCTAAATCAGCATTTTCCCCAAAATTAATTCCTTTGAATATTCCAAAGCATTTTAACATATGTGGGAAAAGAGTTCCAAAGTATATACTCTTGGGAAATGCAGTATGTAGTTTCCCAAAATTCTAAACACCAAAAATACATTACAGTACATCTTTTAGAACAAATGATATAAAACACACTTGGGCAAAGATTATTTTGGAGTCATCCAAGTATATCTCTTCTACTCCAACCACTGCACAACCTTAGGAAAGATCTTTCTTCATTAAAGTATAATAGAACTTTTCTCAGCCTGTGACAGCATTTTGAGTGGGGAAGCATATTTCTCACTTAATCCTTTTTGCTACTCAGAGTTGGTAAAGTGCATTTCTAGCTAAATTTTGGGTATTTAGCCTTACTGTCTCTCAAACATATTCAAATATAAAATGCAAACAATGTCCTGAGACTGGAATTACAAAATTAAGTCCCTCAATAACTTAGTAGTTCCTTAGAAAGGAACTCAGTGCGCTCCCTTTACAAAGACTGAAAAATGGAAACTGGAATGTTTAACTCTTCATTGGAAAGTCCCACCACCGTATCTATTAATAGCTACCTCATCCCCTCTAATCCTACCTCCAGAAAAGTGTACTAAAACAAAGATATAAATAACTGAAATGGATACACTGTTTTTATATCACAGGCACTGTCAAGTTTTATTAAAGAAAAAATTTGCACAATTTACTTTTCACCAGTCTGTTCCGGCATGCTTCTAATGATATCAGAGTCACCTAGAAAATAAAAGTACAGTAATTTTACAATTCATTTCATGATAACTACCAATCACAAAATTTCCCTACTTTGGTTATGCCTTTAGACTAACGTCTGCAAATTAGCACTGATTATTTGCAAAAGTTATTATTACATAAGGTGTACTGTCATTTTTCTTAAGGTTGACCAAAGATAACCTAGATCACAGCCATTATACAATCACACAAATGATCATATAATAAATCACACTTGGTTTATCACAAGCATTTATAAAACCAAACCTAGGGAAAGAACTAGGTCTGGGGACACATGCGTGGTTTTAATATAGCGAATGCTTAGCCTGTCCTGATTATTACAAAATCAGAACAGCGAGAAAATTCGCAGTGTTTTATGAATTAACTAAAATTGATGTGTATTTGTAGGCACTTGTTTTTAAACCAATTTTACCTGTTTTCAGACAGCTTTGAGTTACTTTATTCTACTATTTTACTCGATTATCCCCACTTATAATTTCACCTTTTACCAAGTTCCTAAGACATTATTTCTTAAGTGTTTTATCAAACAATTCATAATCTCAGAGTAAAAAAAATTAATAACACTAATTGCAATTAATAGCATTAATTATAATGTACTGGCATTCATTACCAGTTCTTTACACAATACAACCAGGATATCTCGTTACATCCAAATTCTTATTATCTGAACTCAGGAACCAAAGACATTTGTATAACAAGGAAAACTTAGATATTACATTAGAAAAGGAAAAAATGATTTTCTGATTTAAAATGCATACCTGGATCAATGATAGCCAGTGTGCATACTCTGTAATATTTTCCACATGCTGTGCCCAATTCAATATTATTGCCACTGTAGTGATGGACACCAGTTTTGGCTAACATGGCATAGTACTCTATTTCAGATTTCCTTTGGGAACAAAAAAAGGCAAATAAATAAATGCCATACCAAGCGACTGACAGACTAAATGTTACTACTTCTCTTATTAGTTTTAATGATGCTGAGGCCTCCCAACAGTAGCAAAACCACTTATTACTGTCAGAAACATATTATCATATCCATTAACTGATACAAGCCAACCTTCCCTTGGATCCCTCACAAGTGAGGGGACAACCAGAAAATATCTACTGAACACCTACCATGTTTACAACAGTATCTATGCTCATGGAATAGAGTAGGATGCAAAACAAATAAAAGCAAAGCATCATTCACTTAGCATTAAATGCTAGATACTTTACACTATATAATCCCACAACCTCTAAAGTAGGTATTATATACCTCTTTTTAACTAAGGAAGAAATCAAAGCACAGAATAATAAGTGGAGAATTCAGAATCCAAACTCAAGTTATATTTAAAAGACAAGCCATTTCTATTATCCTCTAGTACTCTGAATCCTAGATGAGGAGTGATAATATTTACCCAAAGAGTTAACATTTCAGTGTTCAAATCATCTCAGGCCCCATCCCAGACCCACTGAATCAGAACGTACATTTTAACAAGACCACTTATGTGATTTCTTTGCACAGCTACCTTTGAGAAGCACTGCTGTAAAAGGTAAGCTTGAAAGAACGGTTTCTTTCTCACAACCAAACTGTGAGATGGGATGGAGAAAGCACTCGGCGGTGCCAATAAGTACAGACACACTACATAAAATGCTGTGTGCAGGTTATGCATTACTATAGAAAATCAACGAGGGTAGGGGACTGATCAGATGACTTACATCCTGCAAGGTCCAAGTTTCTTTTGCTTATTTACAATACCCACCAAGTTCAACTTCAAAGCAGTAAGCTGAGCATAAACCTTGGCTCAAAGAATCGATATAGCAGGCTGATCTAGGTGATTCTTTAACAGCCTGCAAACCCATAATCCAGCTTCAACTTTTCTTTGATGTTCTGTGGTTTTTACCCCTCCTGCCACACATTTCTCCCCAAAACAAGCTTATAGAAGGAAAGCACATGATCAGAGATGGGAAAAAATCAAGAGCCAAACATCACAATAACCACCTAATAATTGTTCTCAAAGTGTTCGTTTGCAAAACAAGTTTTATATAAAATCGAGTTCATGCTACCCAAATCACAAGTTTACACTAGTGGATACTGGCTCACGATCAGTCTGCCGTGGGCGACGCAAGCTCAGGTTCCAATTACCTCAAAGCTGGGCAGTTGTTGGCGAGGATAACCAATTTCGCTTTGCCTTGTCTGATCATCTTCAGAGTCTGCTTGTACCCCAGCACATACTTTCCACTTTTCATAACGAGTTGGAGCCTTGAGTTGATCGACTCCAACGACTTTTTCTAAAAAGCAAACATTAAACAGGGACCTGAAGGCCTTGTTTGCAACCACCTCAAAACTGAATCCAAATTTCTGGAGTCGAGCCCCTTAATAAAACTTCCGAAGTCGAGGGCCGCGAGTCATTGAGAGGACCTCTCGGGTTCTCTTTGGGACCCTCCAAATGCCAGTGGGCATGCTGTCGCCCGAGTGGGTTCAGATCTGCCCGCCCCGGCGGCGACTCATTTCTCCACGTGAACCGGTCTTCCGGCCCCGGCCTGCCTCACTCACCGTCTTCTTTGCGGCCACCATCCTCCTGCCTTCGGTGCGCGACGGCCCCCAACCTAGAACATACAAAGGACAAGACAGGAAGTTTAGGATCCGGAGCTCCAAACGGCAACCCACAGGGATACCCGCGCGGTCCAACCTCGGCCTGGTGGAGCCCACTCACCAAAACCACCCGCCAAGATGGCCGGGGAGCGAGAAAGGAAGGAGTTCCCACAATGCAAAGCTCTTCACAGCGGCGCCGGAATTGCGGGACCGGAAGCGAAAGCACGTAGCAAGCGGAAAAGGCAGAGCAAAGAAGGAGACGACCCCGGCTGGTTGTTCTGGGTGCCGCTGGTAAGTATGGTGGTAGGGATGTTCTCGCTTTTTCTGTCTGCGGGCCCTAAGCTTTCCAGCGTTGTATTGCTCTTCTACAGCTAGCTACGAGTTTAGGAATGGACCAAACCCAGCGGGAGTTGGAAAACCTGACTCAGGGTGAGGTAAGAGGCTCGATGAGAAGAGGCGGCGGCGACGGCGGCAGCGACCACGGCCTTTAATACCGCCGACCTCATCTCTGCTCTTGGGGAGGAGGCGCGCCGTAGCTCCCGAATCCACCCTCGGCCGGGCAAATGCAGAAGTAGCCGCGTCCCCTCCCCTGCCCTTGCCCAGGTTGCTGGTCTCTTGGAGGACGGTGGCACTTCGCACGGGCTCCCCATAATTCCCTTTGTGGCTGGGTTAGCATGAATTTGTAAATCGAGTTTGCATAGAGAGAGCAGTTCTGATTTCTAAAAAATATTTTTGCTGTTAATGTTGGACCTTGGTATCAATGTTCTGTGACAGGTCGTTCAAAATACTGGGCACTGAAAGTCCCCACTTCGTCACCAGCTCAAAAAAAAAAAAAAAAGTAAAATCAGACCACAGGTAAGTTATTTCGCGTGTCACCTTGCCCTGGGTAAGGACAAGAGGGGAAGCAACCTCGTTGCCGCCTCCACACCCTGGCCCTAAAAACGAATGCTGTGCCAGTGACTAAGCTATGCCATTTACTTATATTATTTTATTTAATAGTCACAAAACCTCTATGAGATAGTAACCTTTCTATTCTCAGGGTTATATGTATAGTGTATTTTCGGGAGTAGGACCAGAACCCAGGTAACTTAGGCCTCTTCACAATTAAAGTTTACTCAGGTGTGCCCCACTTTTATGTGAAATTAAGCAAGTAAAATTAGATTATCATAGTACTTGCCTTAGCATTTTGTCATAAATTACAGATAACTAGCCCTCTGATTTAAAGTCAGAAAACCTAGAGAAGTCGTGATGCTGCTGCCTGATAAATGTTATAACACCAGTCCCCTTACTTTTAATCTTGTGCTCCTTATTTTTTTTTTTCTGATCTATGTTTCATTTGTGGTTGTTATGCTGTTGTAAAAATTGAGCCAGACGCAGTGGCTCAGGCCTGTAATCCCAGCTAGTCAAGAGGCTGAGGTGGGAGGATTATTTGAGCCCAGAAATTTGAAGCTGTACTGAGCTATGATCATGCCACTGCACTCCAGCACTCCAGCCTGGGGGACAGCGTGAGACCCTTTCTCTAAAAAATAAGGTAATATTAATAAAAATAAAAATGAATCATCTACTTAAGAGCAGACCTATGGAAGAAATCTCTGGGTGTGAGGCCTGGGAATCCATTACAATTCACTCCAGGTACAGTTTGGAAATGTTTAGAGTCTACCATTCACATTAGACAATCAGGTATGCATCTTTTTTTTCCCCCATTATCCTCAAACATTTTTGTTAGACTTGATATGGAAAGAACTAAATCCTACCCTCAAGTGGTTAATGATCATGTATAAGTATGAAACCATGGTTACAGATATTGCATGTTCATTCCACAAATGGTTCCATGTGTTGGGTTCTGTGTTAGGCCCTCATCATATAAGATGCCTTCAAAAACCTTGCTATGTCTGAAGGAAGATATAAACAAATAGCATAACATGTTTATTCAGTTTAACAAACATATTTGACAAACTCGGCCTCACTCCAGGCACTGAGAATATACAGAAATAAGACATGTTGCCTGTTCTTAGCTTACTATCTATCTAGGCCTTAAAGGAGAATAATACTAAGAGTAATTAGTTTTTGTATAGAGTTTAGTGTACTTTTCACAGACCTTAACTCATGGTTACAATAACCTCATAGGCATTATTATCCTTATTTTACAGGGGCTAAAGCTAGAGCAGAAAGTGATTAAATAATTTAGCAAAGGTTAGACGGGTCAGAGCTGAGATTTGAACTCAGGTCCTCTGTAGTATTAACTGAAATCAAGGAGGGATGCATTCTAGTCAAGAGCAGAAGCAGAGCTAAAAGGACATAATCTGAGAGTGGCTAGTACTTTGGCTGGAATATAGCATTCATGAGAGGGAATGATAAGAATACAAAAAAAGTGGAACATATGTTGGGGGGAGGGAAAAAAAGACTTACATGTTAAAATTATGTACGTTTGCTTTAGTGTAGAATTTTAAGAAATCATTTTATGCTCAAATTCTACTTAGTCTTTTCCCAGAAATTTATTTAAATCCCTAGAGACTCGTTGACCATTACTGAAGAGCCTTTGAGAAAAGCTTCCTCAATTTTCAGCATTATTAGAAGCAGCATGCCAATCAATGATTCCATTGCCAATTGTACTTGAAAACAATGAAGGCAGTAAAATTAAAGAGCCACCAGAAAAATTTAAGTTAGAAATAAAATAGGTTAGGGAAATAGGCAGTCTTGAAGGACAGATTGACAGTGTGTCAAAATAAAATGAACGTACCTATATAAACATTTTGTTTAAGAATACACAAGATCACAGTGGCACCCTCTGGAAAATGGGATTGGAAGGAGGTGGGGAAGCACTTTTAATTTTATTCCCTTCTGTGCTATTTAAATCTTTTGGCCCAGTGATTCAACTTTTAGGAATCTATCCTACAGAAGCAGTCACGGAGTTGCTCAAAGACATGAAAAGAAGGGTATTTATTATTTCAGCATTATTTTTAATAGCAAAAAATTAGAAACAACATCAAATGCTCATCATTTTTAACCAATACATAGTCATGTGCTGCATAGTGACGTTTCAGTCAACAGCAGATCTCATATACAGTGCTGGTTCCATAAGATTATAATACCTTATTTTTACTGTATTTTTTCTATGTTTAGATACACAAATATTTACTATCATGTTATAGTTGCCTACAGTATCTAGTATAGTAACATGCTGTATAGGTTTGTAATCTAGGAGTAATAGGCTGATGCCATATAGCCTAGATGTGTAGTAGGCCATACCATCTAAGTTTGTGTAAGTATATTCTTCGATGTTGACACAATGATAAAATTGCCTAAGGATGAGGATGTGTTTCTCAGAACGTATCCCTGCTGTTAAGTGATGCATGATCGTATATGTTTGTATAGGTATAGAAAAAAGTCTGGAAAGCTAATTATTAAAACTTAGGGTTGAGAAGAGTGGGTGGTGAGGAGAGAACCTTTTTACTTTACATTTTCAGTACTGTTTGAGTTATTTTACAGCATGCATTCATTATTTTTAAATGAAAAGTTCCTTTTAATAATAAGGTATTCTTTTTAATAGCTGTTTCATGAAATATCAATTGTATCTCAAAGCAGTAATTCTCAAAGTCTAGCTCCCAGATCACCTGCATCAGAATCAACTGGAGTTCTGACTGCTGGTCCCCCCACACAGGCTTATGGAAGAAATCTCTGGGTGTGGGACCTGGAAATCTGAGTTTAAAGAATGAGATAGTGAGGACTTGGGTCTGGGCCTCGCCAGAGCCTCGGCGTTCCACAGTGCCAAGCTTGCTTGCTGTGTAGCAATAACTCTTAGGCGTGCATGACAGGTGTTGGGGTCAACTGTGAACACAGAGTGAAGCCCTGCAATTTCTTACATGTTTGCGCTCTCACCTAGGCTCGTGCTGCTATCAGACCAACCTCCTTCCTCCAGCTTCTCCTTGTTCCGAAAGCTACGAGGTAGGTGGTAGCCCACTCACCTTGTTACTGATACTTGGTGGCATCAGCTGACTGTTGGCAGGTCCTTGAGCAAACTGTGTGAGATGGGACGGACGTCGAAGGACAAGCGGGATGTCTACTACCGTCTGGCGAAGGAGAATGGCTGGCGTGCCCGCAGCGCCTTCAAGCTGCTACAACTTGATGAAGAATTCCAGCTCTTCCAAGGTGTGACACGGGCAGTTGACCTATGTGCAGCCCCGGGCAGCTGGAGCCAAGTGCTGAGCCAGAAGATTGGGGGCCAGGGGTCTGGCCACGTGGTGGCTGTGGACCTGCAGGCTATGGCTCCACTACCAGGTGTTTTACAGATCCAAGGAGATATCACCCAGCTGTCCACTGCCAAGGAGATCATCCAGCACTTTGAGGGCTGCCCCGCAGACCTAGTAGTGTGTGATGGGGCTCCCGATGTAACTGGCCTCCATGATGTTGATGAGTATATGCAGGCCCAGCTCCTCCTGGCCGCTCTGAACATTGCTACACATGTCTTGAAGCCAGGGGGCTGCTTTGTGGCCAAGATATTCCGAGGCCGGGATGTGACGCTCCTCTACAGCCAGCTGCGTGTCTTCTTCTCCAGTGTGCTTTGTGCCAAGCCCAGGAGCAGCCGGAACTCCAGCATCGAGGCCTTTGCTGTCTGTCAGGGTTATGACCCTCCTGAGGGCTTCATGCCGGACCTGACCAAACCCCTGCTGGATCACTCTTACGACCCAGATTTCAACCAGCTAGACGGTCCCACCCGCGTCATTGTGCCTTTTGTGACCTGTGGGGACCTGAGCTCCTATGATTCAGACCGAAGTTACCCATTGGATCTAGAGGATGGCTCAGAGTACAAGTATACTCCGCCCACACAACCCCCCATCTCGCCACCATACCAGGAGGCTTGCACATTGAAGAAGAAGGGGCAGCTGGCCAAGGAGATCCGCCCCCAGGACTGCCCCCCCAGCAGAGTGGATGCGTTGCCCCAGCCCCTGGCCGCCCCTGAGATGGAAGACAATGAAATGAATTATTCACCTTAACCCATTAAGCTGGCATGCTGATACAACTCAGAAACTGCTTGCTATCAGGAAAATCAGAACTTGGGTTGACGAATTTGTTTTCAAATATCTCATCAATGGGACCTGAATGAACAAGCCCTGAGTAGGAATCTGCAACAATCACCATGAAGATAACAAGGAAAGAAACACTGCAGAAGTCTGTGATGCAATGGGAATTCTTGAGTGAGGTCTTAACCTCCTCTCTGAACTTCATCAGGGATGTCCTGACATGTCCAGAATTTCCCCTGGAAGCAGAAGTATCCATGAACTTGATGGAGGAAAATGTTACATCTTTATTTTCACTAATGTACCAGAAATTTAGCCTTACTCTTAGTTATAAATGCTGGCAACAAATGGCCATAGTAAAAGCAGTACCTGTAATTTTCCCACCAATACAAATCTGTTCCTTTTTATGTTATGTTACAGTTGTTGTAGGCATCTTGATATATAGTTCACATTCATCACCGCTTGGCATGGCAGATCTTATAATTTGATGTACTAACAAAATAGCCTATGTATTACTGCAAAAAAAAAAAAAAAAAGAATGAGATAGCCAAATGTGATTCTGAGGCATACTTGCTTAGACAGAGATACAAACTAAACAATGTTTAGTTTACACAATGTAAATATACTTTTATACTGAGTGCTCTACTTTCAAAGCTTTTTAATATTCACTTTCCTCTGAACTAATCACGATAGATATTACCCCCATTTTAGAGAATAAATGAGTGAAGTGTTTGAGGTAGTTTTTCTGAAGTGATTTTCATTATGTAATACTAAGTATCGTGTTCCCATTGTGTGTTGTGGTTTGAATATTTGTGTCTCCTCCAAAATTCATAGGTTGAAACCAAATTCCCAATGTGATAGTAGTATTGGTAGGTGGGTGCTTTAAGATGTAATTAACTCTGCCCTCATGGATGGATTAATGCCATTATAAAAAGGGCTTGAAGTGCTATCTCTTTGCCCTTTTGTCTTCTGTCTTGTGAGGATGGAGACACAGCGTTCCAGGCATTGTCTTTGAAGCAGAATCAGCAAACCTTTTGGCACCCTTGATAATGTACTTCCCAGCCTCCAGAACTGTAAGCCAATAAATGTCTGTTAATGAATTAACCAGTCTCAGGTATTCTGTTAAAGCGGCACAGACTAAGACACTGTGTGTCCTCACCGTACATTAGAGATAAGACTTAGTTGCTTTCTCCCAAGGATCTTACCATGGTTTTGTACTGAGAGCCAGAGAAGCCTAAAGCACTCATTTGTGTATGACTCATGACTGCAAAATGTTTGAGAATTCCTCCTAGGGACTCTAAACTGAATCCACTGTATCTCTCTTTGGAGACAGATGTGGGTCCTTGGTTTTTCTCCTTAATACCTGCATGACTTTGAGCAAATTTTCTAACCTCTCTAAGCCCCAGTGTCCTCATCAATAAAACAGCATGAAATGAAGATGCCTACCTCATAGTACTGTGAGGATCACAGTAAATGTGCTGGTGTATTATATGATATTTATGATAGTTAAAACTATCATATTCATTATCATCACCTATCACAGGGTCCTGTACAGGATAAGCATGCAGTAGGTGTTAGTAGATGTTCCTGGATCCTACTCTGACCTCCCTACCACAGCCACCCACCTATACCTTCTATAGTTAGTCACAGCAGCACAAAACCTGTACACTGGAGGAGGAAACACTTTTTTACCTGGCTGGGTGCAGTGGCTTACGACTGTAATCCTAGTACTTGGGGAGGCCAAGGCAGGAAGATCCCTTGAGGCCAGGAGTTCGAGATCAGCCTGAGCAAGAGTGAGACCCCATCTCTACAAAAAAACAGAAAAATTAGCCATGGTGTTGCATGCCTGTAGTCCCAGCTACTTGGGAGGCTGAGGTAGGAGGATTGCTTGAGCCCAGGAGTTTGAGGTTGCAGTGAGCTATGACAATGCCACTGTACTCTAGCCCAGGCGACAGAGTGTGAGACCCTGTCTCAAAAGAAAAAAAAAAAAACACTAGTTTACCTGAGACACACACACTTGCTATGCAAAAATGACATCTAAATCTTTTGGCTCATGAAGATTTTGTTAATATTTCCACACGTATTTATTAGAGCAGGGCTTCGCAAACTTTCTGTAAAGGGCCAAATAGGAAATACTTTAGGTCTTTGAGGCCATATGGTGGTCTCTATGGCAACTATTCACCTCTGCTATTGTAACACAAAGGCAGCCACAGACAATATGCAAATAAATGGTCATGACTGTGTTCCAGTAGAACTATTTACAAAATAAGGCAGCAGCCACATTTGGCCTGGAGATCATAGTTTGCTGACCCCTGTGTTAGAAGATTACTGTTACTAATATTAAAAATAGCCACTTTAAGCCATGTAGAGAATGTTCTTATTCTAAAGAGATGTATTTTGAAGTGTTCAAGGGTGAAAAGTCATGATTTCTTCAACTAATACTCAAATGGTTCAGATAAAAATACGTAGATAGGTAAAACAAATAAATGCAGCAGAGTGTTCATTGTTGAATTTAGGTGGAGTGTGTATGAGTGTTCATTGTATTATTCAACTTTTTGTAAGTGAAAACCATACTAAAAAGGGGATTTATAACCTTTGAAAAAGAACTTTGCCACCCAGCCATTATATTTTCTGGATGCTAGCATGTAGCATTTCAGAATGATTTTGAAGGAATACCAACAGCTAAATATGATAAGACAGAATTAACACAGGGCCCTCCTTTGGTTTTCCTTCACCAAAATTGCTGCTCCAAGTTTCTGAGAACTTTGCAGGCACCTGGATCCATTGTGCTGCTGGTTTTTACTTGGTATGAGAATTAAAAGTGACAGGCTGCATTCCTTGATGGAACGAATACCAACAAGTTCATCTCACTTTTTTTCTTTTTTTTTTTTTTTGGGACAGTCTCGCTCTGTCTCTCAGGGTAGAGTGCTGGGCTAGAGTGCCGTAGCGTCAGCCTAGCTCACAGCAACCTCAAACTCCTGGGCTCAAGCAATCCTCCTGCCTCAGCCTGTCAAGTAGCTGGGACTACAGGCACATGCCACCACACCCAGCTAATTTTTCTATTTTTAGTAGAGACAGGGCCTCACTCTTGCTCAGGGTAGTCTCGAACTCCTGAGTTCAAGTGATCCTCCCGCCTTGGCCTCCCAAAGTGCTAGGATTACAGGCCTGAGCCACCGTGCCTAGCCAGTTCATCTCACTTTCATTGGTTTAGTACACTGGCCTGTCTCCTTATTGTCAGGCAGTTAAAACTATAATATTCATTATCATCGACTATTCAGTGTCCAGATGAGGAAGCAGTCCATTAGTGATTTGGAACTCAAATTTGTCTAACTCAGCCTTCATATTCTTTACCAGTCACTCTGGACATTAAATATGCTCACAAATATGGTAGGGAGAGGAAGGGTCAAGGAATCCAAGTGAAAAGACCCTGCAAACTTAAGTGAATGTTGGTGGCCTTACAACTAACTAAAACATACAAGAATTCTGAACCCTTAGCAGACAAGAAGGAATGAAGGTTACCTAATCAGCTCCACCATTTCTACCTCCACAATAATAAAGAATCTAAAATATTTCTCCCATGACCCTTCCTGTTCGGACTGGGAGTGCTCCAGACTTAACAGTTTTGTTTTCTGGCCTTAAAACTACAAATCGTGCTGGACTGGACTAAAAATAGGCCAGAGAAACACTTTCTCCTATTTTTTTTTTTTTTTTTTTTTTTGAGACAGAGTCTCACTCTTTTACCCGGGCTAGAGTGAGTGCCGTGGCGTCAGCCTAGCTCACAGCAACCTCACACTCCTGGGCTCAAGCGATCCTCCTGCCTCAGCCTCCCAAGTAGCTGGGACTACAGGCATGCGCCACCATGCCCGGCTAATTTTTTCTATATATTTTTAGTTGTCCAATTAATTTCTTTCTAATTTTAGTAGAGACGGGGTCTCACTCTTGCTCAGGCTGGTCTCGAACTCCTGAGCTCAAACAATCCGCCCGCCTCGGCCTCCCAGAGAGCTAGGATTACAGGCGTGAGCCACCGCGCCTGGCCTCTCCTATTTTTTAAAACCATTTTTTTCATCCATGGAAGCATATGCTTTTTATACACTTGGATGCAAAGAACCCAAAGTACTTTATTCACTATTTTACTGTGGAGAGTAAAATAGTAATTTTGGAAAGTAAAGTGGTACCTATAAAGGTTGGTCTTTTGGATGTTTTATATTTCTTAGAGTCAGTTTCTGAAATTTTAGTACATTATAACTGGTATTCCTGTGCCTTTTAAGTGTCCACAAAAGTATGAAATTTTAACATTTTCAATAATTTGAAGTCTATGTACTTTTGTCCTTTAAAAAGCTGGAAAGCACAGGCTAAAACAATGTTTTTTGCTTTTAACTGGAATAATATCAACTTAATGTTGTAACACTGCATGTTATGCTGATCAGAAAATATCACTGATTACTTAATGGAAAATACATAATAAATGCAATTTTGTAACAAAATAAAAACAGGGATGTGGAAGAAAATGATGATAAAAGGAATCTTTGGAGGTGAAAAGATTTATGAACTACTGCCTTGAAGATATTTCCAGCTTTTAAAATCACAATATCAGTTATGATCTGGTATTAACAAGCTAGTCATCAAATAAGAGTAAAGAGATAAGATAGGACAAGTATTTGTTAAGAAGGAGAGAGGAGAGGAGAAGGGTAAGTATTGTATATTAGTCGGAAGTTGTGTGTTGTGAGCAACAGAAATAAATCAGCTCACTGAAGAAGAAAAGGAATTTATTTTGTGGTTTAACAAATGGACAGGAGTCGAGGAGAGCAAGACCCAGATTTGAGTATACGGGTCAGAGGAGAAGCAGCACCATTTATTAGTCGCTGATTCAGAACACACTATGCAAATTACAGGACAGCCCCTCAATCTTATCTTGGCTGGTGCCATAACTGAGTGTTTAATGTGCCGTTCCACTATTTTATAGGTTTGGCTGCTTCTGGATGATGAGGTAAATGGGAAGAAGAGGAAATCACATAGAAATTAACCTATTACCTTTCTTGTCTCACAATAAAGTGAGTTCTTTGATAAGACATTACAGTCGTCCCTTGGTATTTGTGGGGGATTGGGTCCAGAGCCCCCACCCCAGGATACCAAAATCCATGTATGCTCAGGTCCCTTATATAAAATGGTGTAATATTTTCATGTAACCTATGCACATCTTCCTGTATATCTTAAATCTCTAGATTACTTATATAATAATATCTAATGTAATGCAAATGCTAGTAAATAGTCATTATAATATATTGGGTTTTTTATTGCTTTTTTTCCCAAATATTTTCAATCTGTAGTTGGTTGAATCCATGGGTGTAGAACCTGCAGATACGAGGGGCTGACTGTACTGGATGTAATGTCTTAATGGTACGCCCACTAATGGGTGAGGCCAGCAGAGGCATGACGGGCAGGAAAAGCAAATCTAATACAGTAAAGATCCTCTACTGTCTCCAAAGAAATCCAGTCTATCTTCCATGAATTGGCTGACAGGTCCCCTCAAAGTATGGTATCATTTCAGAGACTTAGAGTTGGTCACTTTGCTGCAGCTTGCAAAGTGGGAACTCAGCCAGGTAAGCCTTGGTAAGGGGAAGCATATGGTGTTCAGTGCATGATTATTATTGTTCACCTGATTATAAAATGCTTCCTCTGAAGAACACAGAAGATACTATAACTTGACTAATAAATTATTCCTGAGGAAAAGTGAGATACACCAGTCAACTCCTAAAAGCTAATGGATGAGGAAAACGGGAAACTTAACTGGGCTCAGTAAGCCCTGGTTTACATGAAAGTGTTAAGATTCAGAGAATTTCAAGTTACATATAACTAATCTGTGAGTTAGTGCATCTCTTATTGGGAAGAATGGAGTTTTTAAAAATTTCACTATCTAAATAAAATTAAATGTGACTTTAATTTTTCTACAAAAGCACCCTAGAAGTCAGAGCCTGCTGTGGAATGAATTGTGTCCCCTCTGCCCAAATTCATATATTAAAGCCCTAGCCCCCAATGTGACTGTATCTGGAGATGAGAGTCTTTAAGAGGT